GGCTTTGGCCGCCACCTCTTGCTGCAGCCAGGCTTTGCCATGCTGGGCCGCGCCAGCCTGAAGCCTAGCTACTTCGAGTTCCATGACTTCTGTTTGAGCCAAATCTCATCCGCAAGATGCCACATAACAACAGCCGTGTGCGCCATGCCCGTAAATAAGCCGTGTGCGCCATGCTCCCCGCAACTTCTTTCATGATGAGAACTCCTTGCGTCAAACTCCTACAGGACGAGTGGCCTGAAAGCATAACTCCCCACGATGTGCGGCAAACTTGTTTAACCCCGGCCTGGCACATGCGCAAGTTGCTCTGCGCAAGTAGCTTTGCGCAAGTTGCTCTGTGCGAGTTGCAGTGTGCGCAAGTTGCTCTGCGCAAGTTGCTCTGGGCAAGGTGCTCTGCGCAAACTGGTCTGTGCAAGTTGGTCTGCGCAAGTTGCTGTGCGCAAGTTGCTCTGCGCAAGTTGCTCGGTGCAAGTTGCTCTTCTGCCAAGATACTGCCTTCCAAAAAATTATGAAGCAAGAAATCGGACCCTTAAATGAGCCAGAAACACTTTATTTGAGACCCTCGAACGCTCCAAAAAAGGCAAGCAATACTTAGCCTCCAATAAAGCAATTGTCCCAGTGTGTCTTCAGGGTCTTGGCTTCGTTTGCTGCTGCACGACGGGGAACAGTGAAGGCACCCCAAAGTGTGGATGCCGTGGACTCGACGCCTTTTGAGATTTCGGGGAGTTACGAGAACAACACAAGGAAGTTGCAAAAGTTTATGCTAGGAAGGAATGGAAAAATCCATGTCTTTTCACAGCTGTTTTTGGGCTGGGCCCCGATCAAATTGGATCTCTTTTTTGGTTGGGGGGAGCTTTAGGTAGCATTGTATGACAACAAGAATCCAATTGTGGATTGACACCACGATTTCTTATCCCCCGTCAACGTTTAAGAAATATTCCAGACCCTAGACCCCGTAGTTTTCTTAACATGCCGATCGACCGTATATGCTCATCCATGCTTTCCATGCAGTCATGCGGCTGGTCAGAAGCCAACACAGCGCACGGATAAGTGGACTTTTGTTGCAAGCAAAACGTCAAGTTGCGAGACTCCATGAAACGCAAAAACGCAACCATGTTTGACAAGCTTGTGCCTCTTCGATGGCTTTGGACTGAGAAGCAAACTCACAGTTTATATACTTGGCCATGGTTGATGTTCTAACTTCGATGTTCTAAAAAATACACCCAGAGAAAATTCGCACGTTCAAATGTGTGCTAACCCGGGTTCAGGTAGAACATGGATTCCCCAAATGCTGTTCTACCTTGCAGTCTGTCAATATACAGGGACTCCTTAGTTCAATGCAGTAAAGGGTGTAGTATTTCCAATACGTCATTGATGCCTTGTAAAAATGATTTGAACCATTTCAATCCCCGGGAAACCAAAATCCCATAATACTCAACTCCACAAACTTGTGTTTTGAACCTAAACACAGATGACTTAGCACTCCAAATAGGCGCGGGCCCCAAGTTGCAAGTCTTAAGTGGGCACTTTCGGTACCGTAGCATTGAGTAACGCACCCCTGGGTGCCGATGATGGGAAGTTCCCAAACTCCTCTGTCGTAAGTGGAAAAACGGGCAGTTGGTTGCCACGTGTTTTTCTTTTTTTGTTCATGGGTCTTTCCAGACCATATGGGTTTTTTGTGCATCCAATCCTAAGTCTGCGCGTGGCCTTTCCCGGAAGTCCTGTGTCATGGGGCTCGCCGGAATCATCCCAGAAAAAGTCAGCTTCTGTCAGCCGCCCCTGGCTTGCCCAAGTCATGTGACCCGTTGGCCACGCACGCGAAGACTCGCTGCAAAGACCCGAAGCATGGCAAGTGTAGCAGAGCTGCAACCAATATTGGGACGATCTCGGGACGATCCTCCAGGTGATGCGCTTTCGGTTTCTGCTCTGGAACATCGAGCCAAGTAGCCATGCACATGTTGCGTGTCATTTGAACATATGAGTTTGTGTCATTTGAACATATGCGTTTGTGCGCGTGTGTGTTCCAATTGATTTGGCAACTTCGGTTCTCCCAGGTTGGCACATTGCTCAGCGAGGGCGCGCGGGGACAAGGCGCGAAGAGCTGTGGTAAGGGCTTGATGCACCCTCATACGTAATGCTTATTTGCTATCGGCAGATGAATAAGGAGTTGTTGACATATCACATGGCTTTGCTGAGAAAACTGGTTGGCTTTCCTTTGGCTTTTCTGAAAGCTGAAAAAAGGGGGCCCTGAAAGAAAGCAACACACAAACATGACACACACACACAGACACGCTGGGAGAGCTCCTCGAAAGCAGTAGCGATCATTTTTGTCTTCTTTGTCGGAATCAGATTCAGCGTGCAATCCGAGGGTTGAATATGACGCTGCAGTGTCATCAGACCGGATATGGAAATAAACATGCAGGTGCGTGCGGTTGATCAAGACGCATATCCCCGGCGCACATCAGCTGGCTTTGTTGGCCGAGGTCCTGATGTGGGTGCCTCTGCCCCCCAGCATGCTCATGGTCACCAGTGCAAATGTGACGCTGGCCTTTGTTATCAGGCATTCCCCACACACACACACACATCAAGGCCATGTGTTCAGGCCGAGATATCAGGGCAGCAATGGGCTGTACTACTTACCAACCCTTTGTGCCACTTAACATGGTTACGACCTACTGACTACGACTAAGCAAGTTGCCTGCTGAGAAGCAGCGACCTCACCTCCAAAGGTATAGCTCACATTTCTTTTGTTAGGTGACCTTTGGTAGTTTAGTTCCACCCCCAACCCCCAACCCCCAACCCTCCGCCGAGTTCGAACGGAGCTCCCCCGCCCCCGCGCCGTGGCCAAGACCGTGCCCGTGGAGCCGGCCACCGCGTGCTCCAGCGAGCACACGGAAAAGAGGGACGTGACCATGGCCGAAACGAAGCGGCAGAATAGTGAACCTTGCTCTGTTTGTTCCCAGGCCAAAAAAAAACACACCTGTTCTGATTTTCTTCGGGGAACGAAAAACGTCCAAAAGGGAACTGGTGGCCGGGAATTTGGTGTGCAAATGGGGACAAACCCAGGCGTTGGTGTCGAACATAGATAACCCTTTCTAGAAATTGTTCTCTTAATGGTTCTTTAACCGAACAACACCCCTTGTTTCAGGGTTGGCTCAGGGGAAACAAAGGAAGGTGCTGATCCAGTTGATTTAGCCCTGAAATCCGAAGTTTGGCTGTTCCTTGTTTGATATTCCCCAAGTCGAATAGTTGCTTGTTGGGTCAAACAGACTGACTTTTTGACCCATTGACTGACTCACTGACCACTGTGGACTGACCAACTGTCCTATTCTCCTGGCTTGCTCATACGCCCGTCGCGTGGGGCGACCTGTGAGCCAAAGCGAAACAAACGCATTGCATCCCAGCATTGCCATTGATGGGTGCAGATACAAGGTGGTCCGTAGAGTTCCACCTCCGAAAGGAAGTGGTGCCAAAGGGAAGCTGCCTCGGTAGCCCGTTAAAGCTGGAATCTCCTTCAAACTAGACGACGGGTGGCCCGAAAACACTCAGCTGCGCAAGACTTTGCATTTAATCGGAGCTCAGAAATGCCAAGGTGTACACAAAATACGCGCGCGCGCGCCGCTCAACCTGGTATTGCCCCGCTCAGAATGCCAACAACCACAAAGGGCAGCACAACCACAAAAAATATCTCTATGGAATCAGCAAGGCTCCGTCCGATGTCTCTTTGCACAAAGCAACCGATCTTCTGATCAAGACTTTTGTTTCGCGCGCATGCTCTCGGTGCATACCCTCCAAAAAGAAACACAAAAACCCTTTTTCCACCGGAACTGTGACAGGAGGCCTTTTGATGATGACTGCGCTGTCAATGCCTTGCTAGCACTTCCATAATTGTTGGAATGAGGGTAACTCGCAAACCGGAAAGAAGAAATCCGAGTAAGAGACCTTCATCATGGGTGGAACTGCTCGTTTATCACCGTTTGTTTGCTTGGACTTCCTCTTGGGGAGGCAGGGTTCCTGTGCACACATGTTGTCACACACAAGCGGCCTCCGCGCCCTCCGACTTGGGTTGCAGCCACCCTTTTGTGAGTTTGAGCAGCCCAACCTGGTCTGCGTTGGGCATCTCAGAAGCAATGTTGCCCTATCAATGGAACAGCCAAGCCCTTGGACGAATGCTTGCAGAGCCATAAATCTATCGGGCAGGCCATGGTCAAAACCCTGAATCTGTGTAGGTCATGGTTATGTGTTTCCTGACAAGGGCTGTCCAAATGCTTATCCTCCCATTGAAGGGCGGACCATCCCCAGAAGTACCCAGAAAGCTGGTCTTGCCATGGCACACAGGGTCCAAACTTACGACCCTTCGGGACCCGTTGCATCGTGACCCAAAAGAGCGGAGTCTCTTCTCACTAATGATTTTCCCGCTTGCCGCACCCCCTTTTGGCATCTAAAATAGTATCCATTACCCCCAAGCCCTAGTGGCTACATAGTGGGTGCGTATCCCATTCAACCCTCGGCGGTCATGGTGTCTGCCATGAAACAAGAGATCGGTGGCTTCACCTGAAGGATTGAAGGTGGGCATTTCCCGAACAAATGGAGGAAGAAATGAGAATACACCCATACCCGTTCCAATCGTCGAACCGATTGTGAGACACAGCTCTTGTCGGAGTCGTTCCCAAACTGTATCTGGGCAGGGATCGATGGACCATCCAGTCATACAGTCATACATGATTGTAACCTACTTACACAGTATGCATGTCATACATGACTATAACCTACTTACCTACCGCAGATTGAACATCTCAGTAATCGCAGGAAGCACTCAGGTCAGCGCGGCGTTTGCATTGGTTGCCTTTTCGCATGTGCCGCATCGAAGTGCAAGTCAAGAAGTCCAGCTGCTTACGCCGGAGGGAGAGCTGAGTGACCTCGTGTCTTGCATGTCAGAACGGCCCTGTCAGAACTGCCCCACCGCGCTTGAACCGATTCGCCTTCGCAATGCTTCATTCTTCTCTTCGCACGGGGTAAAAGTTCTGTGGCATCACAAGGCGGCATCTCGGTGAGACGGGGACGACGCGACCAAGCACCTGGCAAAGTCGGGCACATCGGAGAACTTTATGGGCAAAACGGTTGCCCTATTTCTGCCATAAGGTATGCGGTATATTTCAGCGAAGCATTCTCCGGAAGGTATCACGACATAAGGTAAACTGTGGCATCCCCTTGGAAATTCCGTATCACAAGACCCATACCGCAGGTGACTTTCCTAGCACACAACAGTCTATGTTTATCGGTGAATAACATGGAACAAGGGAGGAAAGGGTGGCAGGGCGGAAAGTTAATGGCAATACCCACTTCAGAGTTGTGGGGTCGCTCCAAATTCATCGGAGGTGATTGATTCACCTTTGCGAGGGAAACCCTAAAGCAAGTCATGTGAAAGTGTCATCGCCTGAAAAAGAGAACACATGGATCACTGGAGGCGAACATGCACCCGATGCGGCTCCAGCATGCTCCAAGCACAAGGCTGGGTTGAAAGAGCTTCCGTAGCAACACCCAAATAACCAAAACCAGAGCACAAGGGCACAAACACCAAATGCCAAAGGCCGGGCAGAAAAAAAAGGCAAGCCAAGAAGCGCCCAAAGCAACTTGCTTGGCCGAACCCGGCGGGTGTACCTTAGCCCTAAGGCCTCAACTGTATTTCCTGGCAGGTAAACTGACCTGTGACCAAAGCCCAGTGTTCACACTTTGTGGGTCTTTAGAAAAAAGGATGAAACCGGTCGCACATTTTGGGCCTTTACGATAAAATCAGCGAAAAGTTCCAAGGATTGCCGTTCTCAAAATGGGAATACCTCTGTTTCGGCACCTGGGATCCCATATGGCCGTTGTTTTTTGGTCATACGCCTTTGACCGAAAAAAATGGCCATACAGTTGTTTACGGCTTTTCTTCAACAACATGTCGAAAAAATATGGGTTTCATACGGGTGATTTACGCAAATGACCAAAAAATCATGGCCATACGGGCAAATACGGCCAAATACGCGAGTTTGACCGGGAAAAAAAAAAGCATACGGGGTGCCAGGCAGGTTTTACAGAGAAGAAGGCAGCAACCCATTTCTTAAGTATGAGAAAATACCCAATGGCTAAGTTTCAGTTTGATCTCCCCAATTCGTGTGTGCTATTGATCCCAAGTTGACTCGAACCCCGCATTTTAAAAAATGATCATGTGTATTAACATATATAGATATACATATGTCTCTCTAGTTCTTAATTGTACATATATATATATATATATAACCTTCTGGGTCAGGTTCCTAGTATGTTTCTGCATATTCTACAAGCATTCAACAAAACCTGAAATAAGGTTCGGATTCCCAAGCAAAAGAGTAAAACACCATGGGTCAAATCACTGAGAGAACCGCTCCGTTTACCCACAGCAAAGGCATGCATCTCATTTCCCCAAGAGGAAACCATCTTGGATCGCTGTGGATGGGCGAAATCCATGTCGATCCAGTTGTGGATAAAACCCCATGATAGGACAACCCGCCTACTATCCACTGTATCTCCGATCCCTGCCACTCTGCCTCACGCTTCCTCCGGTCCCGCCGTGGCAGAACCGCCCCAGGCAGGCGGGTGCCACTTGGGGTAGACCTGTCTCAAGGGTCAGCCCCGCGGTGGAGCTGAGCTTTTTGGTGGTTGCGAGTTTGCAAGCTTGTCTTCAGCGGTGTTTCAAAGGGGACAATGTAGGGAACCCATCATCACAGATTCCTGAATTGGAACCCTTGGAGACATAAACATGTCTATACATTAATTAAGGAGTGGATGATAAGTCCCATCGTTTCCAAGGGAAATGTGTGTTTTTTGAGCTGGTCAGCTGTTTGGCGGTCCTTTCGGGTTTGTCTCCTGAAGTAGAGCCTTCCCCGGAAGGGTGGCCCCTTCTGGATGCCGTCAAACGAACCCAAACTTGATCCAGGATGCCAACACCGTAACTACGTACCTAAATTGAGGCTTCGGAAAAGACTTTTGCAGGCGAGTCCGAAACCATAAAACTTCTCAAAGTCGCATACGCACATGGACTATGCAGGGTCCTGGCTTTTCCACTTCGCCTGGACCCACATCCACGCACCTTTCAATTACGTCCTGAAACAGGTGTGTCGGGAAAAGGTTCGTAAGGTCGAAACCCACCTTGAACCAGATAGATGAACCATACTTGGGCGTGTCTTTTGTTACGGGGATCCTTAAAATGGCTGTTTGCTTTTGGTTTCCCTTTAAAGCTACCAAACGAGCGGTACCTTCAACAAAGATCCACCCGACTGGTGCGTAAGGTCTCGTCCATCCACGTGAGTTGATTGTGCCTCCAAACAAACCCCCTCACCCCACCGCCACCAAGTCGGAGCTGAGGTCCTTGCGCGTTTGTACAGGTTCATGCAGACCGTATCGTCCTGAGCTTTGCTCAAACTGCTCCCAGCAGAAACACCACTACCCTTTGTCACCTTGGTTTAAGGGTAAACCACACTTGGCCAATTTAGCTTTCCCCACGGGCGTGTGTTCAGAGAGTGCGAGCCACAAGTAGTCGCATAGCTGCATATATAGCTCATCGCCCAGTGATGACGGAGATGCATCCGTCACAAAAACTCGAACAGCAAAACCAATGTTGTGCCGTGGAAAAAAGCATGGCGCTCTGAAAGTGAATCAACCTGGAAGACTTGCCCCCAAGAAAGGTAAAGATCTCACTCCAAAACAACTGCCCCCTGTTCGCCCCGTACAGTACCAATCAAAAAAGGGTATTTTTCAGGATGGTGAAATTCACCAAGAACTCCTCTCGAACAAGCAGGGTTTGGCGATTCTACCCCTGACGAAAACATGCTTAAACAACGCCTGTTTCAACGGCCTCCCGAGTTCCCCGTGGGAACACAGAATCTGTAAACCCCTGGGTGCCCAATCAGGGGATATCCTGTCCTATTGAAATAGGAGTTCCAAATCACTTTTTGGGGACACCCCCTTTAATGCGCCAGGTTGATTGTCCACACGAACGGAAACCAGGAAGCTGGAGGTGAGTTTCTGGGAGAGTGATCAGCAAGCAGACTCAGAACCCATTAAGGTCCATTCAAACCCAACATTCACGGAAGCTGCGAGCACATGAAAGTGAAGGGAGCCCCCACGTCCCTCGCCATCGCAGAAACACAATTCGCCCTTTGGGGAAATCCAAAGGTTCCAACAAATCCTCTTTCCAACAGCCAGGGCGTTTCAAAAGGACTCTAATGTCGATTCTGGACTCATCAACCTCTCTGATGAATTGGGTGGAGCAAGTCCCCCGAAAGGGAAGGATTGTCTCGAAGATGGGACACTCCCCAATCAAAGCAACCAACCACGATTCTGCGACACCAAAGTGGGCAGTCCCAAGGAGTACTCTGTGACTTTAAACGAGATTGTCTTATCAGGGAAATGGCACCGTTTCCGCAACAGCCGTGGGAATTGGTTCCGATTCCCCATCTGTTTGGTCGAGCTGAACTCGTGTGCGCCTGCTTGATGTGCGCGCTGAAGCGGCATTTCATGTAGCCGTGCGTGCCGAGGGACTCTTTGATGTGGCCTGTCAGGGCTCAAAATGCTTCCCATTTCGCCCCAAGCGCGCGGCCAGGTGATGTGTAAACGGGCTGAAAAGAGAAATATAGGGCCCCTGTGGCATAGTGGACGCTGCCACCGCAATTCGGAAAATTCAGTCTTGGGTGGCTGATGACTATTTTCATGACCCGCTGATGGTGAAACATATTAGTCGTTTCAGAGGGAACCCCTTTGGCTTGGTCTTAAGGGTAAGCCAAAGAAAACTAACCTTTTGAGACAGACTCATCTCGTCCCTCCGGTTTAGAGTTGGGTTTGGACTATCTGTTTTCTGGAAATGTGGGATTCGCCCTGCCACTTAGATTGTACACGGAGAATCAACAAGTGGGTGCACAAATGACCCTCTCCCCTTTGCAAGTTGAACGCAATCCCTCCCAAAGTATCAGAGCAGGTCCTCAGAGAAAAACAACAAGACACAAAGAAAAGGGCTTTTCATTGTTCAGGAAAATGCGCCTCTGTGATGTGAAGGGTTCTTTGTGTACCCCAAAACTGGGCTGAAACAACCCATGTTCTGGTTCCTAGTCTGCCGCTTTAGGAAAGGTAAGGAAGACCTCCTGCAGCTTAGACATTCCCTTGCAAGCGAACAGAAACGCAACAGGGGTCCCCCGGAAGGTTTAAGAAAGGATGGTGTGTTGGGCTCCTTGCTAAGCCGCAGATTGGATGATTCAGGCTGGATTATTTTGAAGGATGGATCCAGGTTGGGTGCACCCCTGAGATGAGTTGGTCATTCTATTTGCAGCATCAAAGTGATAGAGCAATCTTCATCAGGGTCTCTTAAAGCGGGGGGGGTAAACATAACACTTTTGCCAGGTCATTTAGCGGCTTCCCTTGTGAGGCAGGTGGTTTTGCTTTGGAATTGAGTGTCAGAAGGCAAGGGCTGCCTGAGTTGCATCGTTTCCTCCACACACCCCAACAGGCAGCAATTGCACGGTTGCCAGCATGATGCCTCCAAAAGCTCCGCTTCATCTTGCAGTGCGCTTCAAAGTTTCAGACTTTCAGTGCAATTTCATGGTAAAACGGCACAGGTGGTTGTCTTGGTTTGGTTGGTAGTTGACTTGAAAGGGATTCAGAATACACCCAACAGGAAGAGATTACAAGCGAACCATTTTGAGGTTGACCATTTGTAGTAAGAAGCCCACCCAGTCCCAGACCTGCAGTGGCCAGAGGTGGTTGTAACGGGGCACCTGCCTCCCACAGGAAAGGAAGCAACCCACAGAATGGGGAAGTGGACCAAACTTGCGCGAGCCTCGCAAGCCCTTCTTGGTTGAAAGCTCCACCGGCTTAAACCTGAGCCGGCTGTGAGCTTCTAAGCGAAACCAAGGCCCACTCTGAACTCATGAACTTCGTGCAAAACAGCCAGGGACAATACTTGGCCCAACCAACCAGGGTACGCTACAACCAACACTTGTTCAGCTTCTGCTTCATATTTACTTTATATACAGGGGGTTTCTGCAAACAAACAGACCGTGTCTGAAATCCATACGTTTTTTTCAGAATCAGGCGTTTATGAGCCCTGTCCATTACTAGCTCCCAGCATGGACATGGGAAAACTGAGAGGCCAGGCGTCCTTCCCCAACGGGCCACGATATGCTGTTACTTTTCATATCTCAGAAGCCCAGTGCCCATGAGAAATACGGGACACCTTGTCTTGGTTGATTTTAAAGGGCACTTCTCCAGGCACTCTGGCTCACAGCGATTGTGCTCCGGGTTGGGTGCGCCTTGGCGCGGGTGTCCATCGTTCTGTTTCTGCCCCTTGCCGTCCTGGCGTTCTGGTGTGGCTCCCGCTTCTCTGTGTCTGCCATGGTTGCTCGCGACCTACCTTGCGTGCACGCGTGCTGCGCTATGATGACCGGTTGCATGACTTCCCTGGTTCACGAGCCTTTGCGTCCAACTACACTGCTGAGATTGCCGCCATTGCGATGGCTGTTTTTGGGGCCCGCACCGCTGTTTGCATTTACACTGATTGCGTAGGCAAGGTATGCGTGGGACCAAGCAGGTCCTCTCCGCGCCGCTGCTTTTTTTGGGACCTCGTGCGCTACAAGCAGGGTATTTGCCCGGAGTTCTATGTCGACCTGCAGTGGACACCTGCGCATCAGGACCTCTCTCTGTTGCGTGCGGATGCCCTACGGCATGCAATTTGCAATGACGCAGCTGACCGTGCAGCCAAGGCAGTCGCGTCTCGGCTTCAACGTGTGCGGGCACCATGCGTGAACTGGATAAACTGTTTGACGCTACGTGGCGCCGTTAGAGATGGCTACAGCAGCTGTACAAGACTGTGATACATTACATGCGGCTATTGAGCCTGACCCTCGGGGAAGGCCAATGTGTGCACGCCGCAGGAAGTCCAGCCTGCGGCTCCCGTTGTGCCATCTGCGATTCGCTTGCAGGTTCCGCCGCGATGGTGGAGGTACACGCCGCGTCGACCCTGCCGAGTCCATTTCGTTGCGTGAGCTGGTGATTTACATGAACCACCGCTTCCCGCTCGGTGTGCGTAGCCCGGGTCAAGTGGGCTCGCAAGGCCCTCGAGGGCCCTCGCACGTGGTGTGGCGACCCATGCCCAGGTGCTTGGCTGCCCCGCCAGCAGCGTAGCTTCGTGCCAGAGCCTCACTTGAGGTGTCTGGTGGTGAGCGCGAACTTCTCGTCCAGGCGTTGGCTCGCCCCGCGATTGGTCCTTTGCCCCCGGCTAACGTGGCAGGGGTTTTGATCTGCCTGGGTGCCGGAATGGCCCGGTGGTTGGTGCTCGCCCTGATGCTTGCGCCTGTCGGATAAAGGGCACCCATCCAAAAAAAAGGCCAAAAGGGCACCACTGGGCATCTGGGACACTGCCAGTGACTCGTATGACTGACTAAGGTGCGGCATGGAGCACATTTACTCGGTTTTGACGCCTGGCAAGCGTTTTGCAGGGAAGCCCACCCCAGTAAATCAAAAAGGGCACCACTGGAGTTCTAGCCTGTTAACTCCTCAGGCTCAGGTGCAAGCATATGGCACGTCTAGCATTTCGTACCAAAACGGCAAACATGCCTTGGGAGTGTAGCTCTGATTTGTGGAATGAATATTCCCGTAAACACTTAGCAGTCCTGGAAACCCATATGTGACGTTTTTTTCTGTCCATACGGCTTGGGCCACAAAAAAATGACCATACGGTTATTTGCGGCTTGTTGTCAACAATTTGTTGAACAAATACGGGTTGCATACGGCCAAATACGGCCACCGGCCAGCACAAAAAATGACCACACGGGAAAAATGATCCAAATACGGGTTCCGTCCAAAAACAAACGGCCATACGGCTTTCCAGGGTGACCATTCCCTTTTATGAATCGTCCGAATCGCAATTTGAAGCTGGCCAAATTATACCGCCGTTTATGAAGGCCCGCAAGGACTACGATTTTCTGAATCCCATTTTGCTAACCCCCGCCATAGGGGGAAATCAAGCGTTCCCATCCTTTATCAAAAATCCACAAGGGGATTCCCTTGGCTTTTCACAGAAACAACTGGCAACCCGGCACCCCCAATGCTTTGACAAGCAGGACTCCCCAGTTGGAAAGGTCAAACAGATGCTTTCCTGCGGCTTGTGTCTAGGGCGCTGACCACCGGATGTCTTGAGGGCTGAAGAACATGAAGCGCACCTGAGGTCTGAGCTGGTCAGTCTGCCCCGGCCCAGATCTGGGTGAGCACAACAATTCACCAAACCAAAGCACCTGGCTTAAGGTAAATGGGGTCCCGCAATCCCTAGTGGGGCACCACAACAACAAGGGAAACGACTGCCATCTCTCACAAGGACTTCGAGAATGGGCGAAGCCCATCCCTGTCAAATCTTTCGCGTTCCAACTGGTAGAAATTAGATGATGAAGATGGAGCAGAGAATGATACAGAGCTGTCCCTTCCTTCCTCAGCCCGTCCCTTTTCCTGTCAAGGGAAGCTTAGGAGTTAGCACTCTCTCTCGCTCTCTCTCTCGCTAAGAATGGAATGCATGCACCTGCGCGTGAAGTTTGGGACTAGATGCAGCGCATGTGACAAAGCTGGGCGCAAAAGCTGGAAAACCTCGGGGAACAGAAGTGACGCCATGCTGCCAACGGGGAAATATTGAAAGCGAGAACGAAAGAGGAAAAGAGAGAGACAGAGAGAGAGAGAGAGACTGAAAGAATTAGAAATAATGAAAAAGAGACACAAAGGTTAAAAAAAAGAGGGAGGGAGAGAGAGAGGGAGAGGGAGAGAGAGAGGGAGAGGGAGAGAGAGAGGGAGAGAGAGAGGGAGGGCGGGAGGGAGGAAGGGAGGGGGGAGAGAGCAAACAACAGAAATAAAGCACAAAAGGAATAATGAAAGAAAAAAAGAGAAGAAAGGAAAGCGAGTGAGAGACAGAAAGAAGAGACAAAAGGGTATCACAAAAGGGGGGGAGGCGGAGACCACAAACCAAGCCCAAACTGCAGTGTTTCCCTCTTTTGAAACTTCCGACCCCTGACTGCCCCTGACTCTGCCGGACATTGCTGGTATGGCAGGCAAAAATACAGGAATCGGAAGGAAGCCTATTGGGCATTACTTGGAAGCGAAGGAAGAGGCATCAGATCCCTTCTCTTTCCCGAGCTTTTCCATGCTATTCCTCTCTCTGGAGTGACTTTAAGCAAGGATCCATCCAAAGTCATTCCACATCAAAAAATAGATTCACAATCTTGAGATAGATAAGTGGATTTCTAATTACGTCAGACATAACTCACTTGCCAAAGAAGCTACCACCTAACAACAATTCCAGATAAGAATGCTATTCGATGGACAATAATTATAATGAAGTCTCAAGAAAACTCAAGATCCATTATTTTGTTTAGTTTTCTATCTTCCACTCACCCAGACTCACACATAGGAGAGTGAGAAGAGAGGAAGTGAGTGGCTGATAAACAAGTTGTCCGCCTTTCGATCTCATGTCCGTTTCTCTCGCAGCAGATGAATAGAGCAGGTCCATATACAGTCGCTGCAGCCGGTGCTGCCTCCGAGCAGCAAATTGAAAGCTTGGCGCGAACCTTATTCAAGGCTGAAAGGGCAAGCCAAGACCAGCAGTGCCGGGACAGGATGAGTGCGCGTGCCGGGGCACCCTGTACAAAGAAGGCGAGAAAACGGCGAGCGTTGCCGAAGACAACACCCAAGCCTTGGAAAGACACACAGGCCGCATCTACTGGAACAGGGCCCGGCACCAGGAAATCGGCAGAAGTGACCGAAAAGCGCGGCAGAGGCATGAGAGGCACAAGGGGCAAGGGAGTGCCTGCCTCCCCAAAATCAACTCTGTGGTGGCAAGGGCGTAAGGCAGAAAGGGGCCGCCAGAAAAGGACCGCCAAACTTAAGCCCGTCATGTCAAGGGCTGGAGGAAAGGCCATGCATGCAGGGCCCTTGCCTCGGGCAGGAAAGCCCCCTGCCGGAAGCGCTCTTGGCCACCTTGTCTCAGAAAAGCATGATGCGGCCTGTCAAAGTGCCAAGACTGGCAAAGCGGCAGCAGGCATAAGAAGCCCACGGAGCAACTCGTTGTGCGCCCATCACCAGCTGGGGGAATCGCAACAAACCTATGCGTGTCAAAAGAACCAGCCGTCAGAGCGGGGCGGAGCTAAACAAGGTTCCAGGTGAGCTCGTCTTTCTTCAGCTGAGCTCGCTATAATTTGTCCAGATTTATTGTGCCTTCTGAGCAAACGTCCTCCATGCTATCATCAAGCGTCAGCGTCGACCGTTCTACCTGTCAAAACAGATCCCTACGTTGAAGCAGACAAGTCCTGTGCCAAGCGTTATAGAAAATCAGTCAAGCCCATGTTTCTGACGAAAGTTGATTGTTTGCACAGGTTCTTGTGCTGGTTTCTTTGATTGCGAGGTGCCCAGGCCTGCATCTGGCTGTTGTGATCCCAATGCCAAACGGCACAGCGCATGCGCAAAATCGGGTACAGGAAACTTGGCGAGACCACCCGGTCCTTGTGTTTGAAATGTAGTGACTCCCCCAACCCTAGATTGATCTATCATCCCAACCCCCGCCAAAAGAAATGGGTACTCTGAGTAACCACATGGGTGCTTTTCAGGCATCTGCTATAGTACAGGTTGTTTTGAACCAACCTCATGCGATCCACGGTGAAAGCACGCGGTTACTGTATGAGGACATGGGAAATGAAGACTGGCCCACGGCTGTGATTGAAATTCAGTGCTCGCCAAGCCTCGATTCCAGTTTGATCATAGACTGATTGACAAATGCTGATCGAAGTCCAAGAACTGCCAACCAAGTGCTGCCAGTCACCACTTTTGTAGCTACCCAGGGAAAACGATCATTTGACAGGTGCAAGAAACACGCTTACCAACTATAGAGGTAGCAGGAATCACTGGGCACTATTTCTCACCGTGTGAGTGGATTGCTGAACTTTTTGCCCGTCACCAAGATGCTCGAATCTCCCCAAAAAATAACACGCAACTCAATCAGCAAGATATTCCAACCGAACCTGATGTCACATCATCTCTAAGCCCCATGCCACAGCCTTGTTCTTCTGCGTTCTCACCGGGTAGCCTGCCAACAGAATCGGGCTGAGCTATGTGTCCCAAATGTGCTGAGCCGCCCTGTTTGGGACCCGGCTTCATGATCCATCCCTCTTCGGTATCCTTTGAGAATAAGACCAAACATGTTGGAAGCTTCCGTGAGGCCCACACTTTCCATTTTGCAACATAATAGGGAGAAACCCAAGGCACCAACTCCCACCCCGCTGGCAAGGTTCTTCGAACCTTGCCGGGGTTCTTAGAAGGGCTTCTGAGAACCTGGTTTGGTCTCTTCTGACGTGGATGCGTTTCCTCTAAGGGTACCCTTTTCAGCTTTGTTTAAAGGCCCGCAAAAGGAACTCCACTATCTTTTGGGTCCCATTCTGACGAACGCCAATGGTGTCTGGCCAATCGGAAAGGCGAGAGTGGGTCTTCGGTCACTTAACTTATTCACCCCTGAGGCAAGTTGCTCGACTTTTGTTTTTCCGCTCTCAGAAAGAATCATTCTGCGCAATTTGAAGGGGCCTAGTTGGGTTTACGTGCCCTTTTATTAGGATAGATGCTGTCTTCATGAGTTCGAAAGGCCCACGTTGCAGACCAAACAACACAGTTGTTTGATGGTGTTTGTTTCCGGTCTCCAAGTCCCACATTGGCTTTGCCACCCGAGCATTCATAAAATGCGGCTGCACAAAAGCACCAGGAACAGAAAGGCTGCCGCCTCTTCAAAGCAGACGGATCCCGCAAAGCGGACCTACTTCCGAAATCTATGTGTTCATACCCAACTGACCAAAGGACGGTGGCTTTTGCAATGGCCATCGGAAATCACGAATCAAGCAGCCTTTTGGAGGGGAAAGTCCTTTGAATGGGCAGTGAAATCGTTCTATATAGGTATTTTATCTGATACATACTCCGGATGATTCTGAAGCTAACATTGACATTCAGGACATACCCTCCATCCCGCCATGGGACAACATCATGGAAGCTACCAGAAGGTTGTTGTAAGCTTGAATAAAGACCAAACAAGGCACCTTCAGTCAGCTTGAATGTTAGTGGGTGGACAGATTACACACGACAATACTTGACCAAACAATATGGTCAGCCATGCCAGCGGCCACTGCGTGAAATGCTGACCCACCACTAGCCCGGGTTGTGTGTCAAATATGATTCCCTTCAAACAGACAAACCCAAATGGTCGAATCTCCAGATTGATTCAAACTGCCGTGGCCAAATGATGCAGAAGTACCATGGAAAGGACAACAGCATTCACCCACCCCTTAAGCGTGAAAAGCCAGCCGTTCCAGTGGCTGCAAGAAAAAACAATAGCAATGCTTCATTAGAATCAGGCACGAATTAGGTGCATCCAAAATTCAAAAAAGAAAGCACAAAGGAAAGGGGAAACAGATCATTGGCCAGACTTGTACCTCAAGAAACAGGTGGCTTGCTGCCCAAAGCGAAACAAAGCCCAAAAGGGCAAAAGCAGTTTGTCAAGTCTTGCAATGATATCAACCCTCACAACTGTTGTCTGAAACTTTGAGGCTGAAGATCATCAATGACCAAAGAACATGTGCGCCAACCCTGTTATCGAAGGGTTGAGGCGCCCCTGTGCTGTTGACTGATCAAGATTCTCTTCCAAAATTGGGAAGCACGGATAACAACAAACATGTAAGGACTCGCCTGTGAGAATTATCCGCTTGATGATGAGCTGCTTGGGGTCGACGCTCACAACCTCAGAGCGCAGCTCGAACATGAAAGTCACGACCAGCGAGAAGCTCCTACACCAAGTTGCAACAACTTGGCATTTGTTGGATATTTGGCTCGCTTAATCCGACTCTCAAGCAATCCGTCCGAGGCGAAAACGCTGCCAGCTGCAGCAAGCTCGGGAACTACGGCCTCGGCACTGGTTTGTGTCCCCAGACTTGGGCCCCTGCACAAAGTGCAAAGCCAAAACGGCAAAGAGTAAGAAGGCACGAAAGTCTGGCAATGGGTTGGATTCCCTTTAACAACATCCTGGGGATGCTCATGCTTGAGCGGATCCCCTCCAGGGCAGCGCTGCAGGTTGTGCTTGGGATAACATCACGTCACCTCAATCAAATGGATTTTCTGCAATGCCTGATGTTTCAGATGGCCTAACAGCAAACTCACTTAATTAAGCAAATGTTTGTGGAAAGTGCATGCCTTATGCCACGGTAGGTTTCGAACACCCGGGTGAGCAACACAATGCTTCTAGCGAAGGCACACTGAGAGAATCCCGAAAGCTCAAGAGGGTTAGTTACAGTGCCCTCCCGTCACTAACGTGCACCCCACCAGAAGGTGGAATAGGAAGGAGCCCAAAATACATGTTGAAAACTTGGCCCCTGGGTTACAGACAAACATATACTGACACATTCTGGTTCACTGATATTCTGTCGAGCAGAACATGTAGACACCACATCTGAGACTCAGAATTGCCAAGCCTTGTGTCTGGCGATTTTTCAGCTCAGTGCCACACGCCCTCCCGCTGAACGGACATCAGCAGGCGGCAGGGTGGGAACACCTAGGCCACGACTACTTTGTCACTTCAAAAGATACGAAGGGGTGTCAGAAAAGTGGCCCTAAAACAAAATTGTCCTCAACCATGCCTTCAGAAGGAACATTCTTAGCAGGGGCTCTTAAAGGATTTAAAGCTCCGAAAAGTCAAAGCAACATGGTAGATGTTTTTCAGGGTCAGTTCACCAGCGAACTGCAATCGCGTCAACACACCTGGCTGGCTGGGGTCTAAGGGTAGGGAGCAAACCCAAGGCCCGCCCAATGCCAGAGCTGGGACTTTCATCTAGAACCTGAATAGAAAGAAAGCCCAAGCCCCCCCCCCGCGGCTTCCCCCAGGAAGGGGTTCATAGTTCGGATCGAATCTTTCCGGGGGGGGAGCGTGTCCTGATAGTGTCTCCATATAATGACCCTCCGTGAAACTTGAAAGCAACTTTTGGCATCGCCAGGAAAAGGACTCCAAAGGATTCTACGGGTGACATTAATTTCAAATGTTCACAAACTTCGAACAAACTGGACATTCTTTGGGTTGGTGCCTTTTGGGGGGGTACCCTTTTCACGTTGGTTGTACAAATGGAAGCCAAAAGGAAAACTACAAACCAAGAGGCCTTCATCATGTGCAGAAATGCTGCATGGATGTGTTTTTGAGGAGAGCCTTTTCACTGCCTTGGTTTAAGGGAAACCAACAGGACGACAACCACAATTGGTTGGGTCCCCGTATTTGGACACACACTCCCTTTCCAAAAGGGAAAGGCTTGATCTTCCTAAAGGAGAGGATGTCCTCGAAAGGGGGAAGGCCGTGTGGCAAATTGTGGTGGGAGGGTACTTTAATCCACCCTGAACTGAGGAATCCTTTAAAGGAAAGGCGGGGTCAATTGAGGTTCAACTGATCAACGGCAACGAATAAGAAAACTAGGGGGTCAAGTCCCGAGGGTTGGTGTTCTCCGCCCCTGCCGCACAAAGTCTTATGCTCACGGCAGCCCCCCGCCAAAATGGAGAGAAACTAATACGCAAAGAGGATCACAAAGGTTTGTAGTGACCCTTGCTTGTTGAATCCTCCGAGTCCCTTTGTAGTGAAGGATTCTTTTCTTCCCGGCGAACCGCCCCAGCAACTGGAGGGTTTATGCATCAGGGGTCTACATGTTGGGCCGTGTTGAATCTTCAGTTATGGTTCAAACTGGTAAGTCACAAGCCAAACGCGTCATGGGTCGAAAAATGTTCACGCCACCTGTCCAATTTTCCAGCATGTGTTCAACTCGTTTTCGGCACATCGCCAAACAGGGCCGTCCTTTTGAGTTGCTTAGGAACAAGTGTCAGACCTCCAAAAGGAATCACTTGCACATTCGAGGGGCCATCAAAATTCAAGCCTACAGTGGTCAGAAGTAGTCTTGAAAGGACATCCTCTCAACTCAGCACAAGACTTCGTTCCCAGTTTCAGCTGCCCAGTTACTCAATCTATCTCAATCCATTGTAACTTGCTTCCATGTTGGAGTGGATTCACATCCAAACTAAGAAGGGATTCGCAGAAAACCGAAAACCTTCTTGGGGTCGATCTCATATAGTGGATTGAGCAATGCGAGGTTGACCATTTGTAGTGAGCCGCCGAAACCAAACCCAGCGGCCATGGGAAAAAGTCGGGCCCTTTCTGAGCAGATAAACAGGGGAACCTGCTGCACGCAAAGGGGAAAAAGGGGCGAAACTCACTGGAAGTGGGGGACAGGGCGCCGCTGAAGAGTGGAAGTTTGGGCCGACCTAATCCTCCCACAGCTGCTCTCCAGGTCTGCGGCAACTGGTGCGTAGAAGGATGCGCATGCGGTCACCTGACGTTATGAACAGCTGGGAAAGCGGGATGCCACCAGAAACAGAAGGTGCCTGGGGAAGAAGAAACTAAACATGTGTCACGTGCCATGGTCAAAGTTATGTGGGCCACGGTCACGGCGCCCTTACTAGGAATTCTTGCAATAGTTGTCGAAACTCCATTTAACGGGTCCATGGCTGTCCCTACCAAGCCCAAATTTCAAGGTCTTTTTGATCATGGCACTCGTGAACAAACACATGCCATTTTTCTCATTTGGTGGAGCATCCCCAGCAGAGCAGGTACCCAAATCCCAGGGACAATGGCGTCACTCTTGTTGGAAATACCGATACCAAGCTCCACCGATTGGTTTCGGTTTCCCCTCACCATGCGGCGTCTCAACCTGGAGTGAGAACGCTGCAGCAATGACTCTTTCCAGCTCCATCGTTGCCACGAAATGGACAGAGGCAACTGGCGATGACGATTCCCACATTTCAAGAATGTTCGGCCCCAGGGCGCCTCCGGCCTTGGGCGGGCCAATCTCAGGCGCTGAGATCGTGCTGCGGGGGGCCAAGGCACAAACAAAGGCCACCACGACAAGCTGGGTCTTGGGCGGAACCCTACTAGAGGCACAAACATCAGTCGGCACAAACATCACCTCAGCAAAATCAAGCTCGCTTCAACTTCAGCCAAACTGGTGATGTTTCAACCCACACTCAATCAGGAGAAGGTAAGTAGAATTAACTGGGGGCCCAAAGGTCTTGGAGTGAAGGAGCTTGGAGTCTAGCCCAAGCGGCTGGTGCCTCTGATGATTGCCCCTGTTTTAGATGTTTTAGAAGGGTTCCCTATGTCCCCCGCAAAATGTTGCTGTTCAAGGAAATTTCAATTGGTCCTGAACAAATCCTCTAAACGGCTGCATCTCCTTCTCATGTGAACATTCAGCCATGCACATACGCGCTTCGTGCTTGCTGCACGCCTCTTGGTGCAGGAAGCGCATGAACTTGTACTTCTTATTGCTCGAGTTCTTCCTGCGGCTGGTCTCGAACTGGGTCACTCGCTTCTTTAAAACACGGCATGTTGCGGGGCTCCCGGTGAATCCCCTGAACGGGACCTCCGGGAAAGAAAACGCCTAGGCACCATGTCGTTCTCAATACAGTTTGAGGTGCCCAAAAAAAGGGGAGCACAGTTTCCCGACCCCACAGCATGTCTTTCTTTTTGGGCCCGCAAACCAACACGGAAACGGCTGGTTTGGGGTTGCCAAAGAAAAGGCTCCTCTTAAAGATGCGGTTTTGTCTCAAACTCAGGGACCCTCGAAACTGTTTGGTACTTTGTTGATGTGCCACACTGTGCGGCGTTGGCTTAGGGGGCTGACGCCTGTGCACCCCGAAACAACAACTCCTTGAGGAAAGCGCTTGCTTGGATGTTCAACCCACGGTAAGTAGGTTATATAATCATGGGTATGTGATTGACAACAGGTTGGTTGACATGCAAACATGGTTATAACTTTTAACTTGTATCCTACTTGCTAGGTTGAACATCCAAGCGGGTAGCGTCCATAAAACCCTCTATGAACCCCAACTGGCACGAAGTATTATTCACCAACTGGAAGTAAGTAGTGCAGTAATGTGGAGCCCCATGCCAATTTTCAGAAACCTAGCCCCTATAATGATCTAGCTGTAATACCCTTCACCAACCTGAAACCAGAAATCCCCTGAGAAAGGAGACACACCAACTGACCCTTAAGCTGTAAACAAACCCCACTGAAGCTCCCACAGGGCCACTTTCAGTTTTTTCAGCAACGTAGCGCTTGGAAACAGGAAGTGGTCGGTATACTCTCCCCCCAAAACAAAACAACCAAACACACAGGTATGGGCCAGGGCGACCCGCCCATCCTTCAAAACGTTGATTTTGTGAAAAGGGAGAGGCGGGTCCGGCAGGTAAGGGAGAGCCATGCCATGAATGGAACGCTTCACTCCTGGGAATCTCCGAGTAGATGGGGCGCGCAGAAAACCTGCGGAAGCCCGCATGCATCAGGACCTCATCCTTGGACTTGATGACCTGCAAGCCGTCGGGTCACATCCTGCTTTGGTCTGGAAGGCATCGCCACCCCCCACAGCTGAACCCCAATCATCCCCCAGTGAGCCCTCAGTCAACTTCAAGTAAACCCCCAGAAAGCCTCGCCAAACTACGGTCAACCCCAAGTCAACTTTTAGTTAACCCCCCCTTAACCTTCTGCAAGCCCCTACGGTTGCCAACAGAGCTAGCTGCCCGGCCATCTGAATGACCTGGGAGTGATTGGTCCTGGGTGAATTCTTTCGCGCTTTTGGAAAGATCCGGTTGGGATCCCCTTTTCAGTAAGCTGACCAGAGTTGGCTGGCCAGAACAAGTGCCTAAACGTTTGGGCCTTGACTAAAGTGATAAAGAAGCCTTTTCAACAAGCAGCTTGTTTGCTGTTTGCCAACTCAACAGATCCCCTTTCAAAATGTCCAAACCGCACATGAACTAACTTGGGATTTAGCATACTTTGCTTGGCAGGTGAATGGCTGCCCCCAAACATTCGGCCTTCAATCTAGGGCTTCCAGGAACCATCTCAGCTAGGCAGCGCTATTGCGGAACCCCTAAGTAAGGGACCTACATTGGTGAGCTCGTTGCTTACTCACAGAGCGTTATAACATTTCTAGGAAACAGCTTGGATGCGTTTTTTGTGGATCCACTCCTGCAGAATAGCAACAGAGTACTAACACAAGAATGAACTGGGAAAACAACACGGGGAATCCGCAGACATGCCTCCAATCCGTTTTTCTGCAAAATGGACAGATGGACAATCTGCGCCATGTGACAACTCCCATGCATGAGAGTCTAACCATGTCATGCAACCTATCATGGAACTCTAAGGGGGCTATTGGGAGAGGAGACAATCCCTCATTAAACCCTTCGCATGGCCTTATTGGAGGCTTATCCCAAGCTGGTCCTGGAGTAGACCCCGTTGAAGGTCCATGAATGTCAGCCAGAAACAAGGCAACATGCCAAAAAACCCACACATACTTCGAACCGACACATGTTCGCAAAGTCAAAAGACAGGGTTCATTTTGGTAAGGCATCCGCAAAATTACACTTTAAGTGAAATCACCGGTTCCTAACCGTAATTTTGGGAACCCTCAAATACAACCAGTTCAAGAGCCCCACCAAAGCAATTGTGAGCACCCCTCAAATGCTTGTCCACTTTAAGAGAACAGGCGGGACCCAGGCCTCTGCATAGTCCTGCCGTGGGCCAGTTGCCAGACGGAAACTTTTTTGGTTGCATCAAAAAGCTCCTGGGGACCATGGCCATGACTCCCTCTCTAGGAGCCCTTACCAACGCTTTGCAAGCGGCATTTAGACCCTCCTTACCGACGCCAAGTAAGGGGTGTTTGGACTGTGGCACATGTACTTTCCGGCAGATCTACCAACACCCGCCACTTTTGGAGGCATTCGCAGATTACAGCAGATCAGATCTGCTTTTCCTACATTACTATCAATGGAATCAGTTTGTTTCCCCCATGCCAAAATGGTTCTGCAGGATTGCATGGGGCCACTCAACCAGGGACATGTCCGTGGAAGCTGGGCCTCTTTCTGTACTGTTTAGGATCTCCTGTCCCACCGAATGTCGCTTGAGTCAAAATAACAACCAGTTAGAGATAGAAAAGGGATCTACGCAAAACGAACGGGCGGATCCGCACCTACACTATCCCTTCAGTTGCTCGAATTGGCTTTGATTGTGGCTCACTTTGGCGCTTCCCTTGGCCGCCCGAAGAAAGAGTATGGGAACTTATCCCCCCACAGTTTGACAGCCCCGTGTCCGATCAAACCCCCCCCCATGTCAGCCAGGTAGAGGTGAGACTTTTCATTCGGGAGGTCCTTGATTCCTTGCAACCCAAGGCCCTGGTTCTTCTCTTTTTGGCCTTTGGCGCTTCTCGGAGTCCTTGATGCGCGTGACGTGGCCATGTACAACGGACACCTTCTGCTCGCAGTCAAAAAGGCCCGACCTGGGTGGCACACCGTTTGCCCGTTGGACGCTTAACTGACGCTTAGGTCCCAACTTGGACGTTCATCCTAATGAGTAAGTAGGTTCCAGCCGGTCGTTTTTAGGAACCCTTTCTGGGGCTGGTTTCAGGGGAAGCCAACAGGAAACCCACGGTGTTCTGTTGCCTGACTCCCTGCGTAAATCAGTCGGCTTGGCTTGAATCGCCCGATGGGCATCACTTCCCGAGGATCCTGCAGGATGAAGGGCACCCCTTGCGGCTGCGAGTCCAAGACGCCAGGGCCGACACCTGTGGACGATTTGACCTACTTGAGGGAAAATATGAGTGGGTCTGAACCCAGGCATCCTTCTTCTAAAAAAAGCACGATAAACACCAGGTGGAAGGGCTGGTGGATATGCTTTAGTTGTTCAAAGTTGGATATTATGGAGCCCTAAAATAGTTGGCTTCCCTTTGGTTTCCCTCTAAGCCAACCTCTCAGAAACTCCATATGAGTGTGTGTTTTCTGGGGTACCCTTTCCTTGATGTTAAAAGGAAATCCACAAGGAAGCTCGTCACTTTGGTCTGATTTTGACACATGCCCCTAGGCTTGCAATCAGCATCCCTTGTAGTGGTTCGGGGGAGTAGTGGACCTCTCACATGTGTCTGGGGAACTCAACTAAGCTGAGCCACACCAAATGCACGAAACGCTCGGCGAGTGAGGTCGGGCACGCAAATAGGGCGCAAACTAACGTTCCTCTATAAACACCACCCCGACAAGACACTCACTTTGAATTGACCCAATGCTGAAGTCAGTGTAGAAATGTGCCCATCTCAAAATGGGCCGGGGGAACCCCAAAAATGAAAATGGATAAACAGGTTGGTTTCCTTTTGGTTTCCCCTAACCAAAGAACACGGGGGGGCGAAGACACACCCAAATCGGCATGTCTCAAGGAACTCGGGAAAAGCTCTCGGGTTGGATAAGTTGATCCCAATGAGTTTGGTATTTCTGCACATGGAGTCCCGAAATGGGTGGGTCGGGGTCACTTTTGCTGTCCCAAAGCAAGAACTCCCCAAAAGCCAACTCGGGACCCACTTGCTGGTTCAGGGAACCCCTTCCTGTGGGAATGAATCGTGGGGGCCCTTCGCAAAGTGTAGCACACACACAGACACATACACACATACACACATACACAGACACAGACAGAGACAGAGACACAGAGACACAGAGACACAGAGAGACAGAGACACAGAGAGACAGAGACACAGAGAGACAGAGAGACAGAGAGACAGAGAGACAGAGAGACAGAGAGACAGAGAGACAGAGAGACAGAGAGACAGAGAGACAGAGAGACAGAGAGACAGAGAGACAGAGAGACAGAGAGACAGAGAGACAGAGAGACAGAGAGACAGAGAGACAGAGAGACAGAGAGACAGAGAGACAGAGAGACAGAGAGACAGAGAGACAGAGAGACAGAGAGACAGAGAGACAGAGAGACAGAGAGACAGAGAGACAGAGAGACAGAGAGACAGAGAGACAGAGAGACAGAGAGACAGAGAGACAGAGAGACAGAGAGACAGAGAGACAGAGAGA